GACTTCCCACCCTTCTTGCCAACATTCTGCTCCTTTGACTCATTGTCTTTTGCTTCATGATCCTTAAGCGAGAAAGCCGTAAGTGCTTCCTGCAGCTTTGAAACCGTGGTTCTCTCAAAGACTCTACATATCTCTATGGGGTAACGGTGACGAGACATGATTGCAAAACCCTTATTATCATCTCTGCAAGAATTGAAATAAACAATTCACTACAAAAGGCCCCACTCAAAGAAAAAGGTGATCACAGTCGCCTTGAGAAAATCAATTTTCACAACCAAAATCAAACAGCCTGATGAAAGCAAATAAAAAAAAACTACCTATGTGAGCGGAGGAGAGTCATGATCATATACTCGGAATCTGTAAGAATTATGTTTCCTTGAGCATACAACTCCAATATAACATAATGTGCATTAGCACCTAGCCCGAACTGGAAGACAATGATCTGGTGCCAACATCGAAAGAAATAGCAACTTCAACGAAGAAACACAGTGATAACAAACAAACAAAAATACAAGAAATTCACAACTTCTATTTACCCTATCGTAACCAAGCTGCCGTACATCCTCAAGCCTTCTTGTCCGAATATGCTTTCTTAACTTCAAGGTAAATCCAGATGGAGTGTTGCTCTTATCCCTACAAAGAAACCCAGAAAATCAATCATTACCACTTCCCCCAAAAACGAAAATATAGAATGAATAGAATTTTTTTTTTACCGGACATAAGCTGTAGTATGCAAACGAACACCACTTTCCATCAATAGCAAAACCTTCTCACTCTCTCCAGACTCTGTGATTCCACTACTATTCAAGAGCTTGAACATATACGTCTGCAATCAAATTTGAGCAAAAATCAAACAACTGTATATCGTTTGGATAAACCCTAATGGAAATCGAATCAAATCAACGAGTTGATTCCATCTGATTTCTTGTTGTAGGAATTTGTACCTTTGGAGATATATCATAGACGTTTGAGCATCTCATGCCGATTAAACGCTTCAAGCACTTGACCTCTGCGGCCACGTCGGCCGTGTTCATTCGAACCTTCACCATTTCACTTAACCTCTATTTGTCTCTCTCGAAAGTGAAGGAAATCGGTGATTCACTGTGTTGATCTCAGAACCTAAAGAAAATCGAATTTCGGGAAGGGAGCTGAGCGTCAGAGCGTGGAAGAAGAAAGAGAAATTTGTGAGATTTTTATGTGTTGGCCCGAAGAGAAGATGGGCCTGCAAATTCGTAGTTATAAAATTATTATTAAGTTTGTAGTTCAATACGGTTTTGTTAGTTGCGACCTAAGTTCAAAATTTCGTTATGAAGAATAAAGCTTTGAAAATAGGTCTGCAACTTTGTTTTTTTCTGAATAATCCATCACCTCAAAAAATGCAGATCAACACCCCAACGTGAGACCATTTCCATCCCTCAGCTCATAAGAGGTTCTTAATGCTTTTGGATATTTAAAATAGATACAAAATGAATAAAAACTCAAGAACCTGATCTTAAATCTCTTACTTAGGTTAGACATCGTTTACCGTAGAAATCTTCTCGGAGATCCTCATCCTCTGATGCATCCACCGAGGCTTTGAGGGAACGAAGGAGGAGAGGAATCGAAGTCGAGAGTAATCGCCGTGAAGAGTCCGGAGGAAGGATACAGTGCAAGCGGCGGAGATGTCCGGAGGAGACATGCATGCGACGGACGTTTGTCGGAGGAGAAGAGATTTGTTCTTCGTTTGAGGAGAAGAATCGTCGAAGTAGAATCAAAATTTGATCGATGAAGATGAGAATGAGAAGAGAAAAAAGAAAAGATTTCATTCCTCCTTTTTTAACCAATGCAAACATGACATGTAGCACTAAGAAACGGTTCTTTTCAGTCCCAAATAAGAGCCGATGTCTCTGCTTTTCATTATTTTTGATTTAATATTTTTAAGTAATTGCTTAAGAAATTACGGTAGGAAACGGCAATAATGATGCTCTTAATAACTCACTCTTAAAGGGTTCTTAATGATGTGGTACTCTCTGATTGGGTGAAAAGTGAAAAGAAAAACAAATGAGTCCCACCACTTCGTTTTCGTGTCTTGTGATTAGTGTGGAGAAAAACAAATAGACCCCACCATTTTGTTTAAAAATGTTAAAAACTCCATAAAGAATTCAAGGATAAAGATGCTCTGGAAATCAAAATACAAAACAACTTTCAGCATTAATTTTTGTTATATCGGTTACAGAAATTAAAATGATACGCATTGGAAGGTGTTTCACAGTAGAAAATCATGTTGTTCCGCGTATTAAATACACACACTTATCTGGGTTGCTTTAAATAAATCAATTTAGGGTTTTGTTCGTTCAACGAAATTGAGGATAAACACAAAATCGAAGATCCGACGAATCTTTTTCCCAGTTAATGTGATTGTGTTCTAGTGATTTTGATTTTGTTCTTCTTGTAAGTCTCTTTATTTCGTTGTTTGTTAGCGTGATTTCGATTTGCTCGTTATAATGAAAATGCCGATCAGTTATAGCCAATGTTCATCCTCCCGAGCTAGTTTCGACAATGGATGTACTCGAACTGATGGTGATTTTGGAATTATGGTGCGGTGTTTCTGTGGTCGTGCTCCCATACTTGAAAAGTCTATCGCTGCAGCGACTTTAGGAAAAAAGTTTTACACATGTTCAACGAGTTTGGGGAGGTAAGTTCTAATTTATATAGTAGTTTAGTTATCAATATTTTTGGGGGGACGTAAGATCAAAATTGATTCTTCAATATTCAAATTTATGTGTAGAAGAGTGAAAAAAAAACATATATGGAAATGGTGGAATGATCCCACTGAAGATCAACTAGCTAACTATCGTAAGCATAAGACTTGAAGAGCACAGCGAAAGGATGCAAAGCCTTAACAGAATTGAACTCCAAGCATAGGAGGCTCGTATAGAGATAATAGGAATGACGATGGACAGAAACAGCAATGAATTGGAGAAGTCAAGGAATTCTTAGTAGAGATTCAAGGAGAAGTTGCTAGGTTGAAGGAGTTAGTTGTCACCCAAGGTTCAGATTTTGTGTTTCTTGCGATTCTAGTTGTGTTTACTGCAATTTCATATCTCTTTAAATAGAAGAGATATGACTCTTTAAGTGTGTAAGAACCTATATATCTTATTGTCTAAGTATATGTGTCTTTCTGTTTGAAGAACCTAACTGATTTTCTCATAGTTATTAGGATCTTCTTGGAATTAGCTTATGTCTTTGTTATATGATATTGTCTGCTTATATGTCGTAACCTTTCTATTGAAGAACCTAACTGATTTTATTGTACTTTAAGTCTTTGTTTTATGTCATTGTCTTCTCAGTATAACATATATAAATTAATACTCGATAAATTAATATCTCGATAAATTAATATATTTTTTAATTCCCAAATTAGTTTTTAGACTGATTTTTATATTGATAAATTAATAAAATATTACAGTCTCGACATTATTAATTTATAGAGGTTTAACTGTATATTGTCCCTATATTACAACTTAAGTGTCGTTAACAACAAATATAACATAAGGTTGAAACACCAACACAAACACTAAAAAGGGAATCAAAGTTAACATAAGGTTCTTATACCAAAAGGCAAAAGACCACAAAGTAGACAACAAAATATCATAAGATTCTTATACCGAAAGACCATAATACATAAACTACCAAGAGAAATACTCACTACCAAAAGACAACTACTTCTTCCTACGACCACGAGCAACACTCATCTTCTTCTTTTCCCTTGCACGATACAGACTTGTGTGCAAAATGGTGTTGTCACGTGTATCAGCCACGCGTAAGCCAACAGAAATATAGTCATCACCTGTTGTAATACTTGTGAAAACTCCATAACTTTCCTGATAAAAACATTGACAAACACACATTAATCACCAGCTTATAATCACATTAACCATCATATCTTAAATTTGTAATAAATACTCTTGGTATTTGTATAGGTTCTGGATCGTAGACTGGCTCTTGACGAGGAGGCTGTGTAAGAACTTCTTGTGAAGATGTCGCATCATGGAACAGATTTTGCGTGGTCTTCCAGGCTGGCTCTTGGGAGTACTGAGGAAAGACTTGTTGGACCTTCAGTTGTAGCAGGTTGAGACAGATTTTTGTGTGGTCTTCCAGGCTTGGCTCTTGGGAGTGCAGAGGAAAGACTTGTTGGACCTTCAGATGGAGTAGGTTGAGACAGACTTCTGCGTGGTGCACCTGTTTGTGCTCTTATAAAAGCTCTGGCACTGTAGATTGTCGGCTGAGAAGATGTGCTCACCTGGATTGTAGGCTGAGAAGATGTGCTTGCTTGGATTGGATTTTTTCTTGGTCTCCCTGGTGGCTTCTTTTGATTAGGTACAGCTGGATTTTTGTATTTAATTTGTTTGTGTGTTTTTCTTGTCCACAATTCCTACAATGCTATAACCAAAAAAGTTGTTAGTTAACAACATATAATTAAAACATTACAAGAGACACAAATCTAAAAACACATTGATAAACATTACTCCTATAATTATATTTTTTGTTTTTTTCTCGATATTGATAATAAGTTTGTGACTTAATTCCTCCTGATTAAAGTTAAAGTCAAAATCAAAGTCTACCAAAAGGACTCTGATACAAAAATTTTGATATCTAAATGTTGATATTTCAAAATTATTATCGGAAGCATCGAGTTTTGTTATGCGTTGAAAATTAAAATTTTAGCCAATAAATGTTATCTAGCACACATTTTACATTCCGAGTAAAATCAAATATAGAAAAAAAATAGTGGATTTAATGATTTGTTAGTGAGTAAAATTTATCTAAAAAACATCGTTCAATTCAATTTTTTTATTATTAGATGACATAAATATTTATTTATGTAATAATTTATTTTTTAAAATTTTTGTAAAATTTTGTTATCCCAATTTAATATTAACGAAATTGTTAAGCCGTTAAAAAAAATATATATCACAAGCCCACGGAGAAAACATTGGGATGGGCCTAAGAAAGTCTTCCACGATAAAAAGGAATCTCCATATTTCGGAATCAAAGTCGTGATTTGGTTCCGCCCTTCAAAATTAAGGATTTTTCGCCGAACCAGAAACGTTGCTAGTGGTGGAGAGATGCAATTGCTGGCGATAAATCCGGCAGCCATTTCCAGGACGGCGCTACAAGCCCTAGAGCTTTCGTCTTCCTCCTCCTCTCGGCTTTTTTCTTCTGCTCAGGTGATTTCGATCACCACCCACTTCGATTCTCGTTTCGCTCTTTGTCTCACGCTTGTTTGTATCGATGTCTACGAATCTCTGATCCAATTTTTTTTTTTTTATTGTTAACAGAGTTTGAGCTCCCAACGCGCTTTTGGTCTCGTAACTAGCCCTCGTAATCCACTTCAACGCGGATTCTCGCGATCTCTCTCGAGTCGAAGATCGCAAGGTCAGGATACTTTCTCTCTTTCTCTACTACTTAGCGTTGTCGTAGTTATTATTTTATCCTTCTGATCATATCTGCAACTAATGGATGACCAAATAGATAAAAACTTCGTTGAATCGTGAACGAGAACGCTAAAATTCCTGGTGGTTAGTATTTGTCGTGCTAGTCTCCAAGGAACTTGGGGAGGCTAGAGTTTGTTGTTATTGATTGCATTACCTTCTTATAAAAAGCGTTTTTACATGATATTTTTTCCTTTTTTTCCTCTTGGACTATTTTAGAAATATATAATCCCAATTCTAGTTTTGGGAACAAATAGTTTTCTGGTTCTATCTCTCTCTCAGACATTATTAAATTCTCCTCTCTTGGATTTATATCTACTTTTCATAGATTTGAAACAGTATCTATTGAAATTTTAGATTGTTATATGATTGATTTCTGTAATTTTTGTACAGTTATAAAGGCAGTGGCAACCCCAGACCCAATCTTGGAAGTACCACTGACTGAGGAAAATGTAGAAAGCGTTTTGGACGAAATCCGACCATACCTTATGTCTGATGGTGGTAATGTTGCATTACATGAGATCGATGGAAATATTGTGAGAGTAAAATTACAGGGAGCTTGCGGATCATGCCCAAGTTCTGTTATGACAATGAAAATGGGTATTGAGCGTCGTCTAATGGAAAAGATCCCTGAGATAGTGGCTGTGGAATCAGTTCCAGATGAAGAGACTGGCCTTGAACTGAACGAGGAAAACATTGAAAAGGTTAGATTTTAACATAAGTTCTGTAGGGTGCTTAATTTCTCCGCATATGTAGGTGTGTGTTATTACTTGCTCAAATCTATATTATTGGTTCAAATACTGTTTTTCCGTACCGTGAACTGAATGAGTAAAGCATTGAAAAGGTTAGGTTTTGGTATAAGCTCTAGGTTTCTTAAGTTCTCTGCATATGTGGTTTTGTATTATTCCTTGCTCAAACACATATTTTTGGCTCAAATACTATTTTTCGCACCTTTAACTGAATGAGGAAAACATCAATAAGCTCAAGGTTGCTTCAGTTCTCTACATATGTGGTGGTGTGTTATCACTTAGTCAGCCCAGATTGCAAATGCTAAGCAAAAGGGATTTTGTGTTGTTTCTTGCGAAATCGCTAAATGCTTGCGTGCTGCTACGAGAATTGTGTGAACCACGACGAAAAAGTAGATCTTCATGTCTTAATCTTTTTGAGTTTATGTGTGATGTTAACAACAGTTTTCCGCATTATTGTTTAGGTGCTGGAAGAAATCAGACCTTACTTGATCGGAACAGCAGATGGGTCGCTTGATCTGGTGGAGATTGAAGAGCCGATCGTGAAGATAAGAATTACAGGTCCTGCTGCTGGAGTTATGACAGTTCGAGTAGCAGTAACTCAGAAACTCAGAGAGAAAATTCCGGCAATCGCAGCTGTTCAACTTATATAGAAACAAAAACAACAGTGTAAACACGACTACTACTTGTATTGCCTCTTTTCTTTGTATTAGCCCTTGTATAGTGTTGTTGTGTATAGATACTGTGTTGTTGACATTTCATATTTGTCCTCAAAATAAGTTTTTTCTTAAACATTTTTGGTCAACTTAACCTTGAGACGTTAGTTTTTTTTTTCCATAAAATGTTAAATTTTATACCATTTTCTGTTTTTGAAAGCATTAGAGATACAACGAAGAATGTTAAATTTTATACCATGACGACAAAAAAATAAAATTTATACCATTTACAGAAACTTGAGTTGTTCTCTTTGTCTTTGTTGTGTACAATGATAAAATGGTATGATTTCATGTAACAAATTATATATATAAAAGAAAAGTTTCACTTTCTCTCTATTGGACACTTAGCAATTCATTTTATTTTTATTAATAAATTATATGTAATTATTAAATTTCATAAATACAATAAACCATCTAATTAATATTTAGAATAACTTGGATTACTTCTCCAAAAACTGTTACAAACGTTCATTCAAACTTATTAAAGACAAATTAATTACAAAGAATAACCACAATGATATTTACTCATATTAATTGGTATTTGTTTTATTATTGTAGACAATATATTTGTAGTTATTAAATTTAATAAAAACAATAAACCACCTAACTAATATTTAAAACTAAGTGTTTGGTCCGCACCATGTGCGGACATATGAGTTTTAATGTTATAAACTAAAAACTGAAATTTTTTTTAAAAAAACTATCTAAGACATACATGATAAAATAAAACAAATCTAAAAAGTAAACACCATCCAAAATTAAAATTAAAAATGTTTACTATATAAATGTATTAAACTTACAAACTAATTGAATTAAGACAAAAGCTAGTCATACGTCTCTATATAATTGTTATTCATCTTCCTTTTTTCTCTTATTTATCTTTTATTTTTTCTTCTTTATATTTTTTTAATCGTCTTCCATCTTTATCTCTTATTCTTCTCTTACATCTTCTTCTTAGTTTTCTCTCATTTTTTTAATTTCTTTTTCCTTCTCCTGTTCATTCTATATATCTTTTCTTACTTCTTATTTTCTTAAGTTTTTTTGTCACATCTTCTTCTTCTTCTTCGCTGTTTTCACATCTTTTCCTCATCATCTTCTTCTTCATCGCCTTCGTCTTCTTCCTTCTCTCCGATTTCATATTCTTCTTATTTTCTTTCGTCTTTTATATCAATCAAATACATGTACTTCAAAACTTTAACTCTCTCTCTCCCTCTCCATGCATCCCTCCCTACCATTCTCTCTCTCTCATTCTCTCTCTCTTTCAATATTTCTCTCTTATTCTCTCCCTTCTCCCCTCGTCTTAAATTGTATATATCATCCGATTTAGACAACTACATTTAAAGGAAAAAATGTTTCAAATATAAAAAAATAGGAACACAGAAAATACGAACTAACATAAATTTAATATCATGTACTTATAAGGTTTAACTCTCTCTCTACCATTTCTCTTTCTCTCTCTATTCTCTCCGTCTCTCCCT